GGCATCCCTCCCTCCCTCCGGTCGGCGGTTTTTCGTGTGTTTTGACATCCAGCCTCAGAACTGATGGGTGGATAGCCCGTGTGGGAGGTCTGGGGCTCCCCCTTCCCCCTCCTGGGGAGGGGGGAGCTGCGCAGACAGCGGCGCGGTGACGTGTGACGTCATACTAGTTTGCTTGTTTTCTGTTGAGGAGTTCTATCCACTAGTTCGGCTTTTGGTAGCAATTTTAACCAGAATAGGGGTTTGTTTTGGAATGCTTACCTTTCTGGATAATTGACCCAGTCGATGGCAGACATAGAATGCTTCCAACCACATGGGGAGTTTCTATAGGCCATTGCTCCTCTTGCCTCCCTGAGGGGGCCAGGTTCTGGCCGTGGTCCCCGGTAGGCTCTAGAACTCCATACACATGACTGATGCCAAAGTCTGACATTAGCATATCAGCCTGGTAAAGCTCCGGGGAGCCTCCGGGTCTCACCCAGAAAATGGCGTTTCATTTCATTCAACGCTGGTTTTTTTGCCAGACTTCCCTACCCGATTGCAGCTAAAATATGCCACCTACGATTTTTTTGTTATTTTTTCCGTGATCAGAGAACAAAAATGAACACTTTATAAGTCGAAAGAATTTTTTGGAATTATTTTTTTTTTGTTGCGCCTGTGGGTGTTGAATCGATTTGGACCCCTAGTGGTTTGAGGGTTAACGACTTCCGGCTGTTTTTTTTTTTTTTGGGGGGGGGGAGGGTCCTGCATCACTCAGTGGGTGCTCGAGCAGTTGTGCAGGATTCTGAACTTTGCTGTGCTGGTTTACCAGCTGGGTTGGGTTTGGCTTCGGTGTCTGTTTCGGTTCCTTCGGGGTCACCCCTTCCACTTTGTTTGTGAGGGCAAATGGTTGCTCTGCGAGGGCCAATAGCTAATGTCAAGGAGTTCCTAAAATAGTGAGAGTTAGGTAAAGCCCCGCCCCCCAGGGAAGACACTTCCCAGCAAATAATATTTGTCTTAATTAAAAGTCTGCAGTCGTAAGGTTAATCACCTACTCTACTCCAAACAGGATGAAAGGATACTCCTAAACCTTATTACTTATTTATTAAACCCTCTAATAACCTCTCCCCCCATATACAAAATACAATAAATACTTTACCACTCTACCTTACATTAAACTCGTTGAATCCACATACGCAGGATACAAGGCTTACAACAGCAAACTAGGGTAAAGACTACTTTCCTGAAGGGCCACTAGAACGCACATAAGTAACACTGTAAACTTTAGCACACGTGGTCTCTCTAGCCACCCTAGAGTACACTTAGGGTCCCAAAACACTGCTCCATGTTTCTTACATACAAAAAACGTAAAAAATAAAAAAAATGAAGAATTTTGAAAACCAGTACAAATGTCAAAAAGGTTCGTTTGGTGGTCTACAGGTCGGCTGCTCCATGTTTCTTAAATAAATAAAAAAACGAAAAATAAAAGAACTGTTGAAACAATTTGAAAAATGGACAAATGCCATAAAGGTTCGTTCAGTGTTTGTCGGGTAGGCTGCTCCATTATTGAGACGTAAGTGACAAATACAAAACAAATGGAACACAATTGAAACAAAGAAAGATTGTCATAATCGAGCAGCCTACCCAACAAACACTGAACGAACCTTTTGCTATAACGAATATGAAAGACAAGGGCTGCTGGCTGGGTTAGTACTGTGTGAGCAACCATTTGTAGCACACGTGCCTCTGGCTCTCAAACACCTGTCCCACACGGTGTTGAAAGACTGTGCTCAGTCGGTACAATTCAGACAGTATTGTTTGAAGAACATAAGGGTCATAACACTGGTGAAGCTAGGCGCAATAAGGGCTTAACACAACGGTCGGATGCCAGTGATACAGCACCTATGAGGATGATACAGAATTTATATAGATGATACATAGATGAATTGTTTTCTGCGTTCAGTGATGATGCATCTGATACAAGTAGCATAGATGAACAGTGTTAGCGGCTTCCATGGTGGTGTTGTTCATTGATATTTTCAAGAATACCTGAATCTCTTCCTGACTGATGGACACTCTTTGAGGCTAGCTAGATATCTTCCTGTGTGGGACCTTACAAAGCGATCTTTTCAAGACTACCTTACAAATTGAGCTTTTCCTATAATCGTTTCAATACTACCTTATGCTTTACAAGCTTGGCAACATACCACCTACAAGTACTAAAGCCAAGGGTGCACGCGAGTGCGTTATTTGCAAGGACACAGAACGATGAAACAGGAAACGAAAATCTATCTGTAGCTGGTGCAAGGAGAGCAAAGTCGCGCTGTGTACCATGGACTACTTCGTTGACTATTACGCACCTCCAAAGTACTGAGTGTGTAATACAGTGTGTTACTGTGTAAATAGTATGTGAAACTGTACATATTGTAATTTTAGTGAATTTTTACCACGTAATATTGTGACAGTAAACATTTATTGTGGACACATTACTGACACATGTATTACAGTTCCATGGAAAATTATGAACATTCTACACTATACATATTGTAAAGGTCACAAATATGCATCATATACGATAAAAGAAACAAATAAAACCGCATTGGAAATGCATAGAAAAAATATTTGAAAATATATTTGTGGCAACACGCGGTGCTTGAATGGCCTGCGCGACCGTGTCTGGGAGCTTCACACACAGGCGACCAGGCCCTGATGACGTCACAGCGCACCTTGTCCATGCCCTCACAGCCAAAGTAAGTGGAATTTGGTAATTATTTTTACATAGACATATTCAGGGATGGTAATTTATAATTTTGCAAAGAAAAATGATATTTTGGGGAACATTTGATGTCATGCATACTGGGGGAATTTCACAATAAACACAGTGCATCACACTGGTTACATGGGGGACACTTGTTTTGTATGACGTCCGTTTCACATGACGAACATGGAACGGATTAAATTTGTTATGCGAGGTACCACTGTACTTGAGTGACTGATCCCTGCATGAATATAAAGAATCCAATTTGACCTCAGGCTTCCTGGCAAAGCCAATTAGGAATCCAGGGTCGTAACACACCTCTCTCATGATTGCTGGGTTTGGCCTTTAGGGGGCCTTGTGTCAGCTTTTGCGTCGCTGGCTTCCACTTCGGTTTTTTTAGGGTTCAGTGCCTTAGCGCCTACCCGAGCTCTCGCTTGATGTGTTCACGTACACGTCATCTCTTGGCTAGGGTTTTGTGACCTGTGCTCGCCAGGCCAGCCAGGGGCAGTGTGGTCCCTCCTTCAGTCAGGCTCACAGCACGGTGCGGGGGTTCACAGTGGTTTGGCTGATGCTTCAGAGGGTTCAAGCTACTTGGGGTTCAACCCTCTGGCTCCATTCTGACTGTTCTCCTGTGGTTCATTGCCTGAACCATGGGAGTTCCCTTCGGTTCTTGCCTCTTTGGGGCTGGTCACTTCAAGTCGCTCATCTGCTGGATTCTTGGGGTTTGGCTCTCCGTGGAGTTCATATCGGGAGTGTCCAACATCCTGGTGGACGGCCTGTCTCGGTTCATCCTTGTCCATAGATTGGATGGTCGACCCTGACTACTTTCATTAGCTCTGCCGGATGTTCGGATTCCCGGAAATGGACCTCTTTGCATCAGCGTGGTCTCGGTGTCTCCTGATATGTGGCACCCTTCCCCGACTGCGGAGCCTTCGCGGTGGACGCCTTCGACAGGACTGGTCAAGGTGGAGTTACCTGTACCTCTTCTCACCTGGTCCAGCTGTTGCTTCAAGTTCTGGCACAGTTGGAGTCTTACCACAGGAGAGTCGTCCTTGTGGCCCCTTGGTGGCTGGCCCAGCCTTGGTTTCAGGCACTGCTTGCTCGGTGTTAGAACCCCGGGGCATTTTCCATGGCTCTGCCTCTTCTAGCGGATCAGACTGGTCCAGTACATGGCTGGTTCGGTCTTCTCCTGTGCTTTTCGCATATGGTCTTTTTGACACGGGTTTATCACCACCTATATGGTGATCAGGTGACTTCTTTGATAGTGTCCCACCTGCGAGCTTTGTCTTGGCAACAGTATGATGTTTCCTGGCATTCTTTTCGCCATTTTCTCTCCCTTCATAGGTTGTCTTCTATCTTTGATCGAGTTGTCTTGTCCTTTCTCTCTCTGCTTTTTCAGGACCGTCATTTGGTGCCAAGTACTGTCGCTTCGTATCATGCGGCGCTGGCAGAACTGCTCCAGCTTGCGTTCAGGGTGGTTGTCACTTCCGTCCCATCCAGTAAGCTTTCTCATGTTGTGTTTCACCTCCAGCCTGCTCATGCACCACCTGAGCCATCCTGGTCCTTGGACAGGGTTCTCGCTTTTCTCTCGACTCCTCGATTTGTGGTGGCCCTTCAGTTCGTGATTGTTTTTCTGAGGCTCTCTTTCTGTTGGCATTGGTCTCTGGGGGTTGGGTTGGTGAGCTTTATGCTCTTCTCTGGCATGGGGGTTTCTGCTCTTTTGGTCCTGGTGGTCGGTTTGTTCGGTTGCAGACGTCTCCTTTTCTGGCAAGGAACGAGACGGCCGCTTTCCAGAGGGGGTCCTTGGGTCATTGATGCTTGATTGGTCAGGCCAGGGGACGCGCTTTGGGTTGGTCTGGTTTTCCCTCATTCCCTGTTCCAGGGCTTAGGTCTCCCAGGTCGTTTGCAGGGTTCTTAAGTCTAGCCAACCTGTGGTCTATCCTTGTGCCCATGACATTCGTATGTTTGCTGCTCCTTGCACCTCTCTGAGGGGGCCAGGTTCTGGCTCATGGTCCCCGATAGGCTGAACTACATTGACTAAAGCTCTGGTCTAACATATCGCATATTGGTCTGATAGCTCCAGGGAACCTCTGGGGCTCATCCACGAAATAACATTTCATTACATTCAACATTGTTTTTTTTTTTGACCATTTATTGTGTTGTGAGGCATTTGTCTGTAAAAGATTAAATAGTATAGGAAAATGAAGGTTGAGGATATTAAATATTTTCAAAGTAACTCCCATTGATTCATGCCATTTTTACACTGCAGCATTATGGAGAACCAGTACTGCCACACCATGAAATCATCCACAACAGTATTACAGTCTTCGTAGATAAAGAGTAAAGTGATGACGGTGAGCTGTTTAATCAAATTAAGTCATTTCCCTCTTCCTAATAAAGTGAGTCTGAAGCCTTGTTCACTACAACATCTCATGCCATACTTACTCTGTTTGCTGAAGCAATTGCTTATTGTAATTGACAAAAATTATCTGTATTCTAACTAAAAATTTATGAAAAAGAGTCTTTTGGACCACACATGAGTTCATGTGAACCGTGATGTTCTGTCTATCACTAATACACAAAAATTTTGACAGACAAGACTTTAAAGAAAATTGTTTGACATCTTTTTTTAAAAGATATGAAAGCTAAATGATACCCAAGACTCTATCTAAAAGAGTCTTAGTACTGGTAAAAGGATCTGAAAGACTTTAATATAAATTAATTTCTAGTTAACTTTCATAAGTTAATGCGAGAAACTTTATTTATTCACTGATTCTAAAAATCTTTTTCTAAGATTATTATTTTTTATAATATGTTTGACAAATAGACAAATATATTCACATCTAGGACAACATGACCACTGACAAAGCAGAAAAGCCTTATCAGTGTTCTGAGTGTTCAAAAAGCTTTTCACAAGTTGCACATCTAGCAAAACATGAAAAAACTCATACTGAAGAGAAGCCATTTCAGTGTTTAGTTTGTCTAAAAGACTTTTCACAGAAATCATACCTAGTGCAACATGAGAAAATTCATAGTGCAGAGAAGCCGTTTCAGTGTTCAGAATGTTCAAGAGACTTCAAACGAAATTCACATTTAATACAACATATGAGAATTCATACAGGGGAGAAACCCTTTCAGTGTCCAGTATGTCAAAATGACTTTTCACAGAAATCAACTCTAGCTCAGCATATGAGAATTCATACAGGGGAGAAGCCATATCAGTGCTCATTGTGTCCAAAAGACTTTTCATATAAATCTTCTCTAGTACAGCATGAGAGAATTCATAGAGGAGAGAAACCATATCAGTGTTCAGTGTGTCTAAAAGACTTTTCACAAAACTCGCATCTACTAAGTCACATGAAAGTTCATACGGGAGAGAAGCCCCATCAATGTTCCGTGTGTCATACTGACTTTTCACAGAAATCAACTTTAGTAAAACACATGAGAATTCATACAGGAGAGAAACCTTATCAGTGTTCTGAGTGTCTGAAAGATTTTTCACGAAGCTCACATCTAGTACAACATATGAGAGTTCATAGAGGAGAGAAGCCATATCAGTGTTCAGTGTGTCTGAAAGATTTTTCACAAAATTCACATTTAATTCAACATATGAGAGTTCACACAGGAGAAAAACCGTATCGGTGTTCAGTGTGTCTAAAATATTTTTCGCAGAAATCGGCTTTAGCACTACATTCAAGAATTCATAGAGGAGAGAAACCATATAAGTGTTTAGAGTGTCTAAAAGATTTTTCACGAAATTCACATTTAGTTCATCATATGAGAATTCATACAGGAGAAAAACCATATCAGTGCTCAGAGTGCCTAAAAAGCTTTTCAGAAAGATCAGCTCTAGTAAAACATATGAGAATTCATACAGGCGAAAAACCATATCAGTGTTCAGTGTGTCTGAAAGCTTTCTCCCGAAATGCTCATCTAGTACTACATATGAGAGTTCATACTGGAGAGAAACCGTTTCCATGTACTGTGTGTCTGAAGAGCTTTAAAGAGAAATCAGCTGTGCTAAAACATATGAGAGTTCATGCAAAAGAGATTTCATTTCACTTTCTATGCATGTAAAAGATTTTTTCACCTTCATGAAGTCTAAAGAGGCAGAGATATTATGCAGGATGAACTGTACCAGTCCAGTGTGTCAGAAATATTTCATATAAATTAGGTATAGTAAATCGAGTCCTAATATGAGGAATCCTTAGTACAATTTTTTTAAATGAGGACGTCAAGTTACTCACTAGCATCAGAAGTGTGGGTCAACCAATTATTGAATCTTGAGTTATAATCACATTCTTAAAGAAAGGAAGATAAAACTCCCTCATTTACTTTTTCTTGCAATGGCTCTGATATATATATTGCAAGCAAAACATTATATCCTATTAAAGTCTACTCTCAACTTGGTGTTTCTTTACAAACCTGATCTTGTAAGATATATGCATATTTGGAATGCATAACATTTACAAATGGCATGCACAGATAGGTTTCTAAATATCCTGAAATTTGCACTGCCATAAACAAACAGTTCAAAGGCCTGTTGCATTTATTATTTAATTTGTATTAGTTTTGTATCAAGTATCACTGATAATGATTATTGATAAGTGAAAATAATCGTAATTTTTATTATCATAGAAAATTAGATTATCATTGATAATTATATCATAGATAATTAGATTATCTTAGATAATGTAATTATGATTTAAGATGATTTAATTATCTTAGATAATAATTAGATTATCTTAGATAATAATTACATTATATTGTATAATAATTGGATGATCTACCCATTATAATTAATCATTATAAATAATAAATAATAAAAAGCTTTAGGGAGATGTTAAGGACTGTAATTTTAGTTATGATTGTTGATAATTAGTATAGGTAATAGCTTTTATAAATATTGATAATTATAGTTTATTGGAGTTGTTAATTATAATAGATGGGTTTTCTAATTTATAATTATACATATTTAATAGAATTTATTATATAGTTAATTTTTTTTAAATAATAATTATTGATAAAGTTATAGATTTTATTTATGTTTATATAATAGCTAAAAAAATCTTGTCATTTTAATAATAATATACAATTATTTTCTGTGGAGGAGCCCCTCCGGCTCCCTGTAGTTATTGGACTGATATATGCTATATTAGTCTGGGGCTTCAATCAATGGAGTTCTACCTACCGGGGACCATGAGCCAGAACCTGGCCCCCCCTCAGAGAGGCTCAGGGAGCAATGGCCCAAGGAAAACCCCCTTTGTGTATGAGGGTTATCCCATGTCTGCTATCAACTGGGATTAAGCACCCAGAAAGGTAGGTATCTCAAAACAAACCCCACTTGGTAGGAAATTGCTAAAAAACCTAAGACCAAACAGAGAAACAGAACTCCGAAAAAGAAACAAGCAAACGTCATCTACTGCCGCCATGCCGCTTGTCTGTGCAGCTCTCCTTTCCCCTGGTTGGGGGAGTGGGTAGCCCCAGACCACCACTGTCTGCCCACAGTTCTTCGGTTTGTAGGCTAAAGCGCTCTAGGCCAGCTGTCAAACCTGGCCTAAGTTTCCTGCTGGATTTTTTGCACCTGTGGTGTTTTCCAGCTGTTTGTGGCACTGTGGCCAGGAGTAACGTAGTGTACTGGGACTGCATGCACTTAGGGCTGCCTTTCCTAAGTGACCTGTAAGTGCTACCCTTGGGTTCTAGGGGTGCCTTCCCTAGGGTCTTCGGGCGTTCACTTCCATACGGGTTCTTGCTGCTCGGCATTTACCCCGCCCATGGGGCCAGCTGGGGTTTTGTGGCCTTTGGCTCTGGGTAGGGATTGTTGTTGTTGCTGGTTGTCGCACCATGTTTCCTGTTCCTCCTGTTGTGCTTTTGCAGGGTTTTCTTCTTTTTGTTTCTTGCATGGAGGTGGTCTGCCTCTTTTGACTATTAAGTCTCTTTAGGATGTTGTTGGTGGCCCTCCTCTAGGCACCCTTTCTTGTACACTTCATAGGGGTTCAGTTTTTAGCCCAGTTCCCTCTTTGTTGTTTCCTTTGGCTCATCTGGTTTTGCAGCACCAGTGCCTGGGCTTCCCGCAGGCAATACCCCCTGCGGGTCCTGGAAAACTCAGTTGGGGCTTGGCTGACTGATGGATGCGTCATTCGGGTCCCATCTTGAGATGTATACTTGTGTGAGTATAAGGGATGTATTGCCCCCTGATCTCAGGGTGACGATCACTTGTTTTGTCTCCGTCATGCTGCCTGTTGGGTCGGTGACATCTTCGAACTGGAGTCTTGCGAGGCATGCTCCCCATTCGTGCTCCAATTTACCTATTCTTCTTCGGAAGTTCTTATGGGTCAGGTGGCAAATGCATTGCATTGTAGGTTTTGGTTGTTGTGATACGCTAGGTTGGTCGCCCACTCGGATGCCCCGGGGGTGCTCTGTTTGGTTTTAGGGACCGGGACCTGGGGTCGTTGGTCGCCTCGACCTTGGTTCAGTCCATGCCTTTAGGTCCTTCAAGTCCATGGTGGGCGTAGTTCACCCACTGGGGAAGGACATGCTTCTCCCCTTCCCCCCCTGCTGCCAGCTCCCAAACGTCTGAGGTTTTGGAGTTGGGGCAGGGTTTAGTTGGAGACAAGCCTCGGGCAGCTTTGGGGACTGTCCCATTCGAGCCGGAGACGGAGGCATTCGAGCCAGCCTTTCCTGCCAAGGCTTCTGTCTCCTACCAGCTTGGCATCTTCAATCTTGGCCTCTTCTATCTACTATCTTGACTTCCTCAAGAGAAAATTAGATAATTTTCTTCAAAAAGTGCCGGACCAACCGGGCTGTGATGGGTATGTGGGCCTGCGGGCCGCTCCAAGCAACAGCCTGTTGGACCAAGCTCTCACAAGTCAAGCCTGGCCTCGAGCCGGGCCTGGAGAGTAGAAGAACTCCCAGAACCCTATCAAGCAGGTATCTAGCAGCAGACCCCGTTCTTTGCCGTCTTTCCCCCTGGATGCGTTTTCTTCAGGGGTAGAGAGCACAGAGGACTGCTCTGCCCCAGGGCCTGGTTTGGAGGCTCTCAGGGCTGGGGGAGGAGTTGACCTGCAGGGACTAGACCCCCTTTGATCCCACTTGGGTTTTAGTGCCCTCATTGCAAAGTTTGTTGTTGCAGAGAGAGGAGTTTTCTTGCCCCCCCTTCCCTGTTCGAGTATGATTTGGGGTTGGCTCCTCCCAGATTCGGTTCTGGGTTCCCTTGGATTCCTCTGCTCCTTCTTTCCAGAGTTTTTTTGCCTTTCGCGTCCCACCTAAGGAGGTTCGGGAGGCTCTTGCAGCTTACCTCCTGTGAGACCCGAGTTTTGTCTCTGTGTTGGATCCGTCCTCATTTAAGTTCGGTTCCTCTTCCCTGTATTGGGTTGTGTTATGAGCTCGATGTGTTCACGGACTCCTCATCTCTTGGCTGGAGCTTCGTGACCTCACCAGACCAGCCAGGGGCGGTGGGCTCCGGCCTTCCGTCGGGTTCACAGCATGGTGAGGGAGTTTGCAGAGGTTTGGATTTCGCTGCGGAGGGTTCAGGTCACTCGGGGATCTACGATCCGGCTTTATTTGGACTGCGCTTCTGTGGTTCATTGTCTGAACCGCGGGGGTTCTCTTTGGTCCTTGGCTCCTTGGGCTAGTCGTTTTGGGTTATGTGTCTGCTGGATTCTTGGGGTTTAGCTCTCCTACTTGATACCTGCTTGATTGGTTTCTGGGAGTTCTTTTACTCCCCAATCCTGGCCCAAGGCCAGGCTTGACTTGTGAGAACTTGGTCTACCAGGCTGTTGATTGGAGCGGCCCGCAGGCCCACATATCCATTACAGCCTGGTTGGTCCAGCACTTCCCGAAGAAAATTAATTAGTTTCCTCTTGAAGATGTCCACGGTTATGCCTGCAATATTTCTTATACTCGCTGGGAGGATGTTGAACAACCGTGGACCTCTGATGTTTATACAGTGTTCTCGGATTGTGCCTATGGCACCTCGGCTCTTCACTGGCACTATTCTGCATTTTCTTCCATGTCGTTCACTCCAGTATGTTGTTATTTTATTGTGTAGATTTGGGATGTGGCCCTCCAGACCCTTCAGTATTTTTGACATGTATATTATTTGATATCTCTCTCGTCTCCTTTCTAGTGAGTACATTTGGAGAGCTTTGAGACAATCCCAATAAATTTGGTGCTTTATTGCATCTATGTATGCTGTATATGTTCTCTGTACTCCCTCTATTTCAGCAATCTCTCCTGCTCTGAATGGGAAGCGAGTACTGAGCAGTACTCAATATGGGACAGTACAGATGATTTGAATAGTACACCTATTGTAATGGGATCGCTGAATTTAAATGTTCTCGTAATCCATCCTATCATTTTTCTGGCTGACAAAATATTTGCTTCTTATTGTCCCTAAACGTTAGGTCGTCAGACATCATTATCGTCAGACATCATTATTCCTAAATCCTTTACATGCTGCTTTCCTACCATGGGCAGATTTGATTGCATTTTCTACCCTGTATTATGTTAATAAGGTCCTCATTTTTACCGTACCTGAGTACAGTGGCACCTCAACTTACAACTGCCCCATCACACTTGAATATTGTATTTGGGAGAACAACAGGATGGATGGATGGTGAGGGGACTGGATGGATGAATGGTAAGAAGACTGGATGGATGGAAGGGGTGCCGGTCGGCCGAGCAGACAGCATGCTGGACTTGTGATCCTGTGGTCCTGGGTTCGATCCCAGGCGCCGGCGAGAAACAATGGGCAGAGTTTCTTTCACCCTATGCCTCTGTTACCTAGCAGTAAAATAGGTACCTGGGTGTTAGTCAGCTGTCACGGGCTGCTTCCTGGGGGTGGAGGCCTGGTCGAGGACCGGGCCGCGGGGACACTAAAAAGCCTCGAAATCATCTCAAGATAACCTCAAGATATGGTGAGGGGGGAATGAATGGATGGTTGATGGGACTGGATGGATGGATGGTGAGGAGACTGGAAGGATGGATGGATGGGTGGTGAGGAGACTGGATGGAAGGATGGGTGGTGAGTTGACTGGATGGATGGATGGTGGGGGGGACTAGATGGATGGATGGTGGGGGGACTAGATGGATGGATGGTGGGGGAACTGGATGGATTATGGGGAAACTGGATGGATGGTGGGGGCACTGGATGGATGGCAGGAGAGTGGGACAGGGAGGCTTGTGGGGGGGAGGGGGATTGGAATGGGAAAGAAAATCTTTTAGAACACCACCCCTCCATGGTGCCTCCTTGCCATGGTGAGGGGCTCACGTACATCTCCCTGGGACTGGTGTGGGTTGCCTTTGCCCCCTCTCCTGCCCCCTCTTTGGGTGGTGTACGTGCAGAAGGGCACCATGAAGGGGCCTTGTGAGCCATCGGACTACCCGTTGGAGGGGTCGCCCGTG